CAGTGGGGATAGACTGAGGGTAGCTCATGGTGAGGAGGGAGGTGGGCTGCAGTTCCCCCCACCAAGTTCTCGCCCCTCTGCCAGCTTTGCTCAATTATGGGAAATCCTTTAAGCTTTTGCATTAGTGCTGTATTTAGGTCTGCACTGTATTAGGGCTTGGCATAGGGAGCGCAGTGAGATTTCTCACTTAATAAAGAATGTTCTAAAGGCATTTGTCACCGTGCCCGCTGCTGGGAGCCAGCGCTCTGGGTAGGCAGGAGGTGCTGTGGGAGGTGAGGGAGCTGGGCTGGCTCCAAGGCCTGCTGTGCTTGGCCCTGGCCAGCTCCCATCTCTGCCCCTGTGCTCCCACACTGAACATTGGGACTCAGGGTCCTGGTCTGCCCCTATCATCACCCAGCCAGGGGCTACCTCAGGTTGTGCATCCCAGAGCTGCAGCTGGTGACCTCCCCACCCGTCTGCATCAGCCCAGCTGCTGGCAGAGCCCAGCCACCCTCCCGTGAGGCTGCAGGGCTGCTGTGCTGGCGGGAGGCCCATCCTGCTGGCAGTAAATGTGTCACAGGCAGTGCTCAGGGATCATGAGTCACGAACGCCCACCGCCAGCCAGCCTGGCCGGCCTGGCACAGGGCTGCAGAGCAGGAGCTGGGAGAGATCTGCTGCCTCCTCCTCCTCTGCCTCTCCCACCTGCATCTTCCACAGGGCACCAAATGATAGGGGGTGGGAGCGCCTACCTGGGGCTGAGGTGACAGTCAGCTTCCCTGGACCAGTGTGGGGATGTGATGTTCCCCCCACACCCCTGCTCACAGGTGTCTGACACTGCCACAGCTCTACCCCAGCTCCTGGACAGCTTGGCAAGGATGGGGCTGAGGGGGCTGCCTGTGGAAATGTGTGTCTCCTGGACTGTAAGTAGCTGAAGCTGGGGCTGGGCCAGCTCAGGGTGTGCTGCTGGGAGCCAGGAGGAGCCTCTGGACTCCCCTTTCAGTGTGGATTTTTCTTTTAATCTGGTAATTGCTGAGCCAACAGAGTATTAGATACAGATTTTGAGCCTGTGGTGATGGGCTGTGGCAAACAGCCCACACTCTTGTGGAGGGCAAAGCTCAACCCTTGGCTTGAGGGCAAGTGAGGAGCCTTCTCTCCCTGCTCAGCCTCCTGAGTGGCACTTCAGCACTTTAATCCTTGTCCCCAAACTCCAGTGCCTGCAGTTGTTGTGAGGGCCACAACCTGGAGAAAGCCAGGCTTCTGCATCACACCATGGCAGGAGAGAAGTTGTGCTGTGGCTCAAGTGACATCCCTGGGCAAGCCCAGTGTAAGTGCATGTGGCAGTCCCTTGCTGGGGGCTCAGCTGGGAGCCCTGGCAGCCTCTTCCCCTTTTCCTCAGACCTGCTGAGTGAGCAGGAAGAGCAAAATTTTGTGGGATTGTTGTGGATCTGCTGCTGAACCAGGCTCCAGAGCAAAAGCCTCTCCCAGAACCACCACTGGGTCTCCCAGGGAGGGCCCCAACCCCAGAGATAAATCATCAGACAGGGAAAGCTTTTATTTCCTTTCTGTCTTTGCCTTCTCCAAGGCCAGGCTTGATTATTCCTTTCAGCAACACAAAGTGCTAGAGAGGCTCAGCAGCCAGAGATCAATTTTCTCTACTCTTGGTGTAATGTGTCTGTGCAGGGGGAAGTGGCTTTTTTCCTCCTCTTCCCATTGTGCTGAGACTTGCTGGGTGGCACCAGGGGCAGTGGCAGCTGCATTGCCAGAGGGAGGGTGGCAGGGAACGTGTGCCAGCTCTCACCTGGTGCTGTGCTGATGGAGGGTGTCAAAGCCTTTCACTCACAGCCATTGAAGAGCAAAGATATTGCTGGGAAAGAAATCCCAGCTTGTCTCAGTATCGCTCTGAGGCACAGTGCAGGGTGGGACTCTCCACTGCTGCCTCTGCTCCTGCTGTGATGTTCCCTCTCATTCATCACAAAGCACTTGCTAATGGAGGATGACTTTCTTTCTAGGGAACATGCAAAAATTTGTCTCCACAGGAACAATATGCAAAGATCTCATGTTTAAGTGATTGGAACATAGTGGCAGTACAAGGTATGAAGTCTGAACACAAAGGGATTCAAGATGGTTCTCAATTATGCAGACAAGTTAAGGGAAAAAAAATTAGAGAATTTCAGAATTTTAAGAGGATGGGAAAGAATTTGGCATGGGATTAAATATTAGAGAAAATGTTAGACCAGCAAAAAAGCAGATGAGAAAAGCCTGAGGGGTGAGGCAGATGGACCAGAGCAAGGAAAGCTGTCAGCCCACAATACAAGGACTAACCAGGGGATGAGCCCTGGCACTGTCCACACAGCATCCCAAGTCCACATTCCCACACTGGAGCTGTGGCACAAGGCAGAGAGAAGAGCATCCTCTCCCTGGCACTGGCATGGCTGGACTTGCTCAGGGGCTGCTGACAGTGGGGTGTCCATGGCTGTGGATCCGTGAGGCAGTGAGCCCTCGCTGTGAGTGTGGTTCGGTCCATGCAGGGCTGTTTGTTGGTCCATCTGTGCAGGCATGGGAGGTGCTTGCCTGTTCCTGGAGGATGGGAGGGAGCACCAGCCTGGCAGAGCCACAGTTTGCTTCCACCAGCCACTGGTTTGGTCCTCTCCAGACTGTGCAAATTAGGAAACTCTTTGAAACACCAGTGTCACACTGCAATGCCAGGCAGCAGTCCTTTGCTTCTTTAAACAGAAATACAGCTGGGGTTTGGATCACCACCTTTTATCCACAAAATGCTCAAGCAAGTTCATAAATTGCAGAACAAAATACTAAAGACTGCAGGTAATTATGGCAGGGACCTCTGGAGTCTTCCCCAACACGAGGAGCCCCAGCAAAGCTGTCAATGGCTCCCACTGCTTCTGATCCTTCCTGGCAAATATTAATTTTGGTTTTTTTCAAGTTGAGAAATTAACTGCTCTGCAACCCCATCTAATTTGAATACTCTAATTAAGCAGTTTTGGTGCTTTTCTCCTCCCAGGACCTTCCCTGGCCAAGCACTTTAACCTCTTGGTTCCCAGGCTCCTGGAGCAGTCAGCCTCTGAGGTCTGCTGGTTTGGCTCCCTTGGATGATGATGATGGATGCCACATGTCATCCAGGCTGCAGCTCTCCAGGTTGTTATAATGACCCTTGCTGGCGTCTGGATTGTCTCCAAGCAGCCAGGTGTTCTTTCCAGGAGAGCTGACAGGCTCTGGTGAGGAGGACACCCAGCTTTGTCCCATTGGCCTCCCTTGACAGGGACGCTGATCGAGTGTCTCATAATGAGCTCGCCGTGTTCCTGCTCTGCAGACGGTTTGTTGGCTGCTGGCAAAGGCAGCCTGGGGAGAAGCTCGGCCTGGCTCCCACTGCCCATGGCTCTGCCACTGCACTGCTGTGGAAAGCCTTTCCCTCTGGCCTCAGGCTGATCTCTGGAGGCATCTCATCCCAGACGTGCAGGGAGGCCATTTGAGCACATGTGCCAGGAACAGGGGCTCTCTGCTGACGTGTTTGTGTGGCTGGAGAAAAGGGATGGATGGGAAAGTGAGTGTCCTCAGCATGGGGAACAGGACCAGGCCAGGACGATGGGCTGTGATATTCTGATTTGATATTCCATGGTTCCAAAATCAAGTGGGATGTGCCACCCTGCAGCATTTGGTGACAGTGGCATTGCCCACCTGGCAAGAATCTCCCACACTCCGTGAGTGCTGCCAGAACTCAGATACTGTGCATCCCACGCCGGCCAGGAGTGATGCTCCAGGAAAGGGCCAGCAGTATTCCAACAGAAATGTCCCCAAGGCACTGAAGAGCCAGGAAGATGAGGTGCTGGGCTGTCTCGGTGGCACTGCCTGTCCCAGGCTGGGGACAGCCCGAGGCAGTGGGTGCTCGGGGCCCAGGGCAGGGCACAGCCTGGCAGGGCCCGCCCGGCTCTCAGCGTGCTTTAGTGAGCTCAGCGCCGGAGCCCGCACGGAGGAATTAACGACTCGGAATAATACTTGTCACTTCTCTGAGAGGAAATTGTCAAGTGAAAAGCAATTTACTAAAAAAGAAGGAGGAAAGAAATGGTTTTGCTTATTAAGATCAACATCATATTAAAGTATTTTCTCAATACCCCATTTGGGTTGAATTTTACATTTTTTCTCTCTTGTTCTCACCAATGGGAGTAAAGCAGGGGGTTTCACTCTAATTAATTGTTGTCTGCTTCATTTGGCCAGCAAATTTCACGAGCAAGGTTACACATTCCTGTAGCATTTGAATTGCAAATGCTGCAGGAATATGATAAAAAAAGAAAAACACGTGGAATTCTAAAAGCAACCTTTCTGTAAGACATCAGTTTAAAATTGCTTTATATGTGCAAATCTTAAAAATATATCTTGACAGAATATTTCCTTCCCCCTTCCTTTTCATTTGGAGTTTAAAGCAACAGGTTTGGTTTATGTGTTTCACTGTTGCCTTTTTTAGCCTTAAGGAGCTGTATTTTCAGTTTTACTCTACTGTTGGGTAGAAATTTAAAATATGTATGTATATGTATTTCTATGAAGAGGCTGTCCCGTGTGTTGGTGATTTAACAAAGGCAAGCCTGAGGACAGCCCCGCCCGCTCAGCTTTGCAGAAATCTGTGGAAGGCGGCAGCCAAGGAGAGGGGCTGTGCTGGCACCACGCCGGGTGTGTGCAGGACAGGCCTGTCCCGGAGAGCCACGGAGCTGCAGCTCGGTGCGAGCCCCGCAGAGCCGCGGAGCAGCGGCTGGAGGAGCTTCCCAGGCTCTGCAGAAAGGATTACGGCTTGGACTGTGAAGGGCAGCGAGGGGAGAGCTCGATGTCTGGAGAAAATAGGAAGAGGAATGACCCGTGAAACCACATTTCTGCCTTCACCACTGGTGGCTTGCTCACACGGAGCAGTGACTCATCACGGCCGGAGCTGATCCTGCCGGCAGGAGAGGCAGCATCGTGGGGATAACCAGGAGAGAGGGCAGGTGGGGAGGGGAGGGGCTGCAGCCACTGCGTGTGCCTGGGGGTAGCGACAGCATCTTCCCCTGTGGTGCTGTTCGGCTCCAAGCTCTTCTAAATGGCTGGTGATCTGGTACCATGTCTGTGAGCCAAAGAGAGATGCTTCTCCCAGAAATCCCAACAGTCTTCTTGGTGTATCAATTATATTTCAGTGCAGTCCCACTTCTGTTTCAGAATTAGTAAGTGCTTTGGAAAATGTCCTTTACTTCTTTTGAAGTACCATCATGCCTTTTGTTGCGACTAAAGTAATGGCTAAAAGCTGAGGGATGGCAGAAAATCAGAAATTTCTGAGAAAGGTCCTCAGGATTTGCCTCTGAGTCATCTCTATATTGGCAGGAAAAGCTGGCAAAAAAGAATAGCATCTCTGCAGGTTCTGAAACAGCCCCAGAATGAGGAGTCTGGGCCAGGTGGACACATCCAACCCCTAAGACATATTTCACTGGAATTTGACAGGGCTTAGATCAAAAGCTGTCATTGCAGTTCCGTGACTGGTGTAACACGACGACCTCCTTGAATGAGCTGCATGTGAGAGCAGCCCCCGGTGCTCCAGTAGCCATTCCAGCCCTGAGGAATGTCCCTGCCCTGCAGCTTCCACGCTGAACACCATAAGGCACAATAAGTGGATTAGCAAAACCTCTGGAAGAGGCAAAGAAGAAAGGACGCTGGGTCTTAAGCTGGTTTTGCATGTATTTACACAAATGACGTCCCCAGCTAGATGGCAACTGAGGTGAAATCTGGGCTATCCCTGCTGCCCTGGCTCAGCAGCTGCTGCAGCCTTCCTGGCAGGGCAGAGCCTGCTTTGTAGCTCGGGCAGACGTAGGGAGTCAGAGCAGATCGATGATGGCAGCGGGGACAGCCCACAGGAGGTGGTGGCTGTACAGCACCCACACTGTGGCTGCAGTGGGGTGGCTTTGGCTGCTGGGGGTGGTGCAGGCCCACCCTGGCATCCACAGGACACGTTCCAGACTCCTCACTCCATCCATGGCTTGGAGAGGCTCTTTTGTCACCTCTTGGGGTGACTGCTCCCAGTCCCACCTCCCTGTTGGGCACAGCACCGGGCAGGATTCATCTCTCCCATTGGTGAGATGGGGATTGCAATTATTCCTGGCCCTTGCTTGTGCCATCTGTCTGTTCCCTGAACATCCCTGCAGGATCTGTGTCTTAGCAGGTTAATTTAATAAGAGCCTGCTTTATTGTTGCTGGCTGCGGGCACAGCATAGAGCAGCTGAGTCCATCAACAGCACAGAGCTGCTCTGGCAGCAATCGAATCCTGCCCGGATGTTCATTTGGGAAGGTTGTTTTGCTGAGAAAGGGCAAACCCTCCTGGGGCAGCACCGAGGGCTGAGCCCTGCTCCTTTCTTCTTGGCAGGAGCCGTGGGGAAAGTGACAGCAGAGATTAAATCAGGCCTTTGACCGGGGATGTGCCGCACCTCCGGGGAGGGGATGGTGATAGTGAGGGAGTGGCAGAGGTGGCACTGGCATGAGGTGCCCTGCACGGCTGGCTCAGGGCTTGGCCATTTATGGCAGAAGCAGCTCTTCCCATCCAGACTTTCAAAACCTTTTACATCACCAGCTATTTTTGTGGCTCAGGATATGTGGTAGGGCACAAGGCGGTGAAAGAGCTGTGCAAACTGTTTAATGAAGGGAATGACTCGTCTTAAGGGTAACAAACAGCCTGGTGCACTTTGGGATTGGCCCTTTTTTTCAGCTGTAGGCATCTATGCCCAGGTATAAAGTGCTGTGAGCTGGGAAATAAATCTTGGCAATCCAAATCAATACTGGGATTGATTTACGGAGGAGGGAAAAAAAATCCATTTTCCCAATCCTGTGTCCACCTGCTTGTTCTTCCCCTCAGCCCAAGAGCGAGGCGTTGCTGGCTAAAGTCAATTGCACAAAAATATATTTGGCTTTTCTCCCGCTGTGCTCTTTGCCCCTTCCTCTCCCGCAGTCATTCCTCCACCCATCACAAACATAATGGACCAGCAGTGCCACAAAGACGTGCACATAATGAACCTAAGTGACCGTGTAATCCTATTATTGTCACCCTCACCCTCCCTTGCTCCTTTGCTCCCTCCCCCCCGTTTGTCACTGTCACCGATTGTGTCATGGTTAAAATTAGATGGGAAGCTCCTCTGGGAGCACTGCGGCTTTCCTTTGTCCCGAGCACCCTGAGTGCATTAAGGTACTTCGCAACAACTCGTGATTTCTAATGGGGTTAAAGTAGGAGGCAGCCTGTTTTAATGCTCACCTTTTTACATTTTCGAGCTGATTCACCAGCCACATGAAAATCTTCCAGCCAGGCACGTCTGCCTCCTGCCAGCAATTCACTTGACAACACAATTCTGGAGGCAACGGTGAAGGAAGGCAAGGGCTTTTTACTTATATTTGATAAAGAAGAGTGAGTCAAATTTGGTGTAACATAAGTAAGATTTTTCTGGAGGATAAAAGTCCTCATCCTCATTGACCTTTTCCCATAATGGACCTGTTGTCTTTATGGAAAGCAAGTGAACAAAATAAAGCTGTTTGTGAAAACAGCCACAAGCAGAGTCACCTCCTCAGTACCTTTGGATGGTTTTAGCCTTGACCAGGCACCTCTCTATGGCTGCTGGAAACCCAGGATGGACACAACGCAGCAGCTGTGTGTGCCCTGGACTGGCAATCACACAGGTGATGCAAAGGGGAAAGGAACAAATCCAGCACTTCACCACGTGCCTGCTGAAATCCTGCAGGGAGCAGCAGAACAAACGTGTTTGTACTGGAGGGCAGCTGCTCCTACAGGTGGGAATCATCGCGTGGGTCTGGAGTGACTGGGGGGGTTTATTTTAGGGAGAAAACAGACGGGGATTCCTTCAGTCGGTTCCTCCTGCCAAGGGGAGTTCCAGGGCAGGTGGCGCTGGTGCCGTGCTGTCCCTGCTGACCCTACTGTCACCTGCTGACCCCTGCTGTCACCTGCTGACCCTGCTGTCACCTGCTGACCCCTGCTGACCCTGCTGTCACCTGCTGACCCTGCTGACCCTGCTGTCACCTGCTGACCCTGCTGTCACCTGCTGACCCCTGGTGTCATCTGCTGTCACCTGCTGACCCTGCTGTCACCTGCTGTCCCCTGCTGACCCTGCTGTCACCTGCTGACCCTGCTGTCACCTGCTGTCCCCTGCTGTCACCTGCTGACCCCTGGTGTCACCTGCTGACCCCTGGTGTCCCTGCTGACCCTGCTGTCACCTGCTGACCCCTGCTGACCCCTGCTGTCCCCTGCTGTCCCCTGCTGTCACCTGCTGTCACCTGCTGACCCCTGGTGTCATCTGCTGTCACCTGCTGACCCCTGCTGACCCTGCTGTCCCCTGCTGTCACCTGCTGTCCCCTGCTGTCACTACTGACCCCTGCCCTGAGCCCAGCCCGGCCGGGAGCTCCGCCGCTCCTCCCTGGGGGTTTCAGAGCCGGGCAGTGAGCCCTGTGCCAGCTGCACCAGTGCAAGGACACAGGTCAGATCTTGCCTGACCTTGCGTACCTCTAGCTGTGACCTGGAGGCAGCAGCCTGCAGAGTCAGGAATGCTTTGGGCTGGGAAGGATTTAAAGGGGATCTCGTGTCACCCCGGCCTCGGACACTGCAGGACTTGGGGCGGCTCCTCTGGGCAGCCTGTGCGAGGGCCGCACCGCCCGACAGGGACGATTTTATTCCCAATAGCTGATCTGAACTTGCACTCTCTCAGTCTGAACCCATTCCCCCTTTTCTGTCGCGACATGTATTTGTGAACATGTAAACATCCCTCTCTGTCTTTCCTGTAAATTCCCTTCAGGCACTGGCAGGGGCAATTAGGTCACCGCGCAGCTTTCTCATCTCCAGGCTGAACAATCCCAGTCCCAACCTTTCCTCATATCAGAGGAGCTCCATCCCTCTGGTGACTTGGTGGCCCTCTTGTCACCAGCCCAGCGGGCTGCCAGGGATGAAGAACCGCGGTGCCGGTGCCACAGCCCGGGTCCCCTCCCCCGCGGGAAGCTGAGAGGAGTTTGTTAAGGAGTTTGTTCAAGTTATCGAGTGCCGAGCAGGAGCTCGTGGAGGGACAACGCGGCGCTCCCAGAGCCGCCCTTCAGGTTCGGGACGGCGGCCGCCATCTTGGCGCCGCCATCTTGGGGGCGGGCAGGGACAGCGCCCCGGTGCCACACCCAAACCTGTCCCCCTGCACAGCACAGTGCCTCGGTGCCATATCCAAAACTGTCCCCCTGCACAACGGTGCCACACCCAAACCTGTCCCCCCGCACAGCACAGTGCCTCGGTGCTACAGTCAAACCTGTCCCCCGGCACAGCGCGGGTGCCTCGATGCCACACCCAAACCTGTCCCCCAGCACAGCACACTGCCTCGGTGTTGCACCCAAACCTGTCCCCAGCACAGCACATTGCCTCGGTGCCACACCCAAACCTGTCCCCAGCACAGCACATTGCCTCGGTGCCACACGCAAACCTGTCCCCCGGCACAGCGCGGGTGCCTCGGTGCCACACTCAAACCTGTCCCCCGGCGCAGTCCGGGCGGGCCGTGACGCAGCACGCCGGAAGTGAGCGCAGGCGGCGGGGCGGGGCGGCCTCCGGTGTCCCAGCGAAACCCTTCCGGGCGGGCGGGTCCCGCGGCGATGGCGGGAGCGCGGCGCTGAGGCAGCGAGCGGGGCCGGGGCCGCGCCGGGCGCTGACGGGGTCTGGCTGCCCCCGGGACGGCGCGGGAGCAGCGGGGCCTCGCCCTTCACGGGAGGCGGGCCGGGGCTATGCGAGGGCCGCGGTGCCGCCTGCCCTAGGCCGGGCCCGGCGCGGAGCGGCCAGCGGGGCCCGATGCGGGAGTACAAGGTGGTGGTGCTGGGCAGCGGGGGGGTGGGGAAGTCCGCCCTGACGGTGCAGTTCGTCACCGGGACCTTCATCGAGAAGTACGACCCCACCATCGAGGACTTCTACCGCAAGGAGATCGAGGTGGACTCGTCGCCCTCGGTGCTGGAGATCCTGGACACGGCGGGCACCGAGCAGTTCGCCTCCATGCGCGACCTCTACATCAAGAACGGGCAGGGATTCATCCTCGTCTACAGCCTGGTCAACCAGCAGTCCTTCCAGGTAACCGAGCCCGGCGTCCCCTCCTCGCACGGAGCCGGCCCTGCCCGGGCCGAGCAGGAAGTTTTAGGGGTAGCCACGTGTGCGTGGCAGCGCTTTATCTCCCAAGGGCCGAAGGTGTAAATGCCCAGCTTGAAAGCGCGTTTACCAGCCCTGCTTCCCGGTGGAAAACTGCTTGCTTTGCAGGTACTTATCAGGGTGCCACTATTGTTAAGTCCCACGCAGTGCTGGAGAACAATGCCTAGCTCCCACTTCCCCAACAGAAATCTCTTGGCAATCCCCTTTTGTGAAGAAATCACTCGATATTAAAACTGAGACTTCCCCTTCCAACCCCCTCTCCTTCCTAAAAGGCATGTTTCTGCAGTTGCTCCTGAAGAGAGTCTCATTGTTCTGCAGTTGTGACTTGTTAAGTGAGCTGCTATTTTCCGCTCCCTGCCCCCAAAATATATTCCTGTCCAGCACGAGCTCGATGCTCTCCCAGCGTAGGTGGAGTACTGGAGAGCAGAACTAGCTATACACGGTAATTTGTGGTTCTGGATTTGATTTCTACTATTAAAACTCTCCAAAAAAAGGAACTGTCTCAGCCAGTAATTGGTCTAAGCTGCCTGTAGAAACGGGGCTTTGTTTTTGGGCAGTAAGTGAGTTTAGCAGCACTCCGTGCAGCTTGGGGATTTGCAGCTCCTGCCTTGGCTTGGGCTGCTGAGCTGGGTGTGTTCCAGCTGCTTGGCAAGACCTTGCACACCCCCACTGTTTGCTTCTGCTGAAGGCTAAACCTTATCTCAGCAGAGGCCTCGAAACAACCCTGTGCGAGCTGAAGACACGCTTATCTCTGGAAAACAACAGCACTGACATTGGGATGCTTCTGCTCTCATTTTCACTGATTTTTGGGTTCCAGCGAGCCCTCATTATTTGAGAAATGCATGTGCAGTAATCTTGTTAATATTTAATTATTCCCGTCTGTCTGTAGTGTTTGCTCTGAAGGCTGTAGGTGTAAACCTCTCTGCAGTTCTTTGCACGGTGGTAACTTCAAACGCTGGGATTGCTTTGTCTCAGAACTATGCAAGAATTTGTAGTACCGATAGCAACTTAAAACACTCAGGGGGCAGAGGAGGCTGACTCAGACTTTCAAGTGTAAACGCCCCGTGTCGGCTCAGACTTGAATAAATGCATCTCTAGGTAATAAAATCTCTTTACAGCATCTAATTTGGTTACTTACATGTGATTAAATGTGTTCACAATGAATTATTCTAAGCATTCCAGGACTGAGAAGGCTTTATTTAAATTGATGGTTTTCTCAAGCTGTAAACTAAGCACAAACTTCCTAAATGGTTGTGTAATGGCACGCCCCTGCTAGGGTTACAGGTCGTTAGACTTGAGACAACTTCTTCAGAAAGGTGAAACCAGCCTTCAGAGCAGCAGTACCGTGTCCTCCTCTGGCTGAGAGCACAGCAGTCACTTTCTGTTGGTTTATGCACATAAATTCTTTAAAGTGTGCATGCTTTTATATGAAAGAAGAAGTAGTTTAGTGATAGGTGTTAAATTTTCTCAGAATTCTAGATCTGCGTGACTGTGAGTTTTAAAAGTCTTCTGGTGTATTTTTAATGTCCAGTTGCGCGTGAGGGTTACTAAAATGTGTTCCTACAGTGGTTCTGTAGCAATTCCATGTGATTCCTTGCATGCACTAACCAGCTGGATTGTTTGACCAGGATATCAAGCCGATGAGGGACCAGATTGTCCGGGTGAAGAGATACGAGAAAGTTCCTCTGATCCTGGTGGGGAATAAAGTGGATCTGGAGTCGGAGAGGGAAGTCCTATCTGCAGAAGGCAGAGCCCTGGCTCAGGAGTGGGGCTGTCCCTTCATGGAGACGTCAGCCAAGAGCAAAACAATGGTGGATGAACTGTTTGCTGAGATCGTCAGGCAAATGAACTATGCCTCCCTGCCTGAAAAGCAAGATCAGTGTTGTACAACTTGCATCGTCCAGTGAGAGATATTAAGAAAAACCTCAACCATGGCCATACAGAGCAGGTTGGTGGAACATAACTAACTGAGGTGCCTAAACATGGTGTTTCAGTAAGAGATAAAGGGACAGGGAGTGTAAAATGAGGCAGCCTCCCTCCAAAAGATGGGAGATTGTGCACATGATTGAGTCAAATGGACTTCTTGCGTTACCTCAGTAGGGTTAGTCAGGGAAAGCTGCATTTGCTTGCAGTAATTTTACAATGACACAAAATGAGTGATCTCATCTGCACCTATTTTGACTGTCAGTGCTGTATTTGATGCTGTGTTATTCTGCATAAGTGCTTTGTGATGTTGCAGTGGGTTTATTCTTGTAGCTGGTATCTCAGTTATTTTCCAGTAATGGGAGTTACCTTGGAGTTCAATGGGATTATTGTGACCAAGTTTCCCAGTAGTTTTACTGAGAAGACTTTGAGCTTGTTTAAAAGATATAAAGTTCTGTAGCACAGAAACTGATAGTACCCTTCTGCCTTATCAGTGGAATAAGTTTCTTTTGCAAGAGAACCACCCTGAGTGGTGAGAAGTGGCTCAAAGCCCACATGCAACAGTCAAGGGCATGCACAAAGTGTTCTTCATCTCAAATCTCCAGAGCAGAGAACACACTGTAAAATGGCTTCCCATGCACAGCTCTCCTTTTCCAGTGACTCAAAAGAGGTGTGATGAGAGTCCAGCGTTCAGAGGGCCCTCTGTAAAGTTTCCCCTGTGTCAGGTGTTGCTTTGATTTTTATTTTTTTCCCCTCCAGGACAGCTGCCTTTGGCCTTTCATATGTGTGGTCTTTTTTTCATCACCTGTGTGCATAGGTCTGTCCCTCCCCAATGTGCATTCCCACTCCTGTTTCCCCTGTAGCTGTTGCAGGTCTTGTTTCACCTCTGGCTCGAATCCATGTGACTGCAAAGCAGGGTTGGTGTGCTCTGTGTGGAGCCAGCTGCTCCCTCAGACCTCCAGTTGTCTGTTGGACCTTTGCAAACAACTCCGAGAGCAAGTGCAGGAATGAGGGATGATGTGGAAACTCAGGGGAAGGAACTGCCCCTCCTGACAGCTGCACTGCTGCAGGCTCAGACTCCCACTGCCACATTAGTAACTTGCTTAACTCAAAGGAGCTTTTTGTGCCTGAGTGACAACAGGGAAAATAGGTTATTACTGGAAGCTTTGGACCATGTATCCTCTTTAATCTGGAGTGCAAGGTCAGAGTGAAGTCTCAAAGCTTCTCTTTGAGATTGTTATCAGGTGCTTTGTAAATATCAAGTTTTAGGTGCTCATGGCTCTAGCACTGTCATGCTACAGATAATACATGATGTTTTTATCTCCAGTTCTGTGAAATTAGGAAGGGCTGCTGTCACTGTGTAAGAGGTGTGTGTAAGTTTGAGATTTGCTTGTTGAAAGGTGAGCTTGTTTTGGAGCACAGGAAAATTCAAATAAAGTCTCTCATTGTGTGGGAACATCATTGTACATTAATCACACCTGCAGATTCTATGGAGTTCTAGGAAAAAATGAATCTAAGAAATTAATACTTAAAAAAAAAATGAGTGCTGCAGGGATAATATCCTGAATTGTGTATAGTAATGCAATGTTGCAGCTATTTCTAAAGCAGCTTCACAAACAAGATTATGTGGACTAGAAGTATCATGCCAAAGGATATGGCAATCCTCTGTGGTACTAATAGTTCCTCTTGTGCAGGTTACTGTCTTAAACTCTGACAAAATCGGGCCTTTCATCCTTGAAAGTTATAGTTCTGGAATTGATTGCTTCTAAGAGAGGCTTTGTAACCTGTCTGCTTCTGGATTAACACTAAGTAGCACGTTTAATCTTAAAGGTGAAATTGAAGAAGGGGCAGGGCCACATGTTATTCTTTTGAATGATAACTTTTGCCTAGATTTGGTGGCTTCCTAAATGTGTTTTTGCTTCAGAAGAAAAATCTATATTCTTATGTCTTTGTGAGGTCTTGAGACAGAGGATCTAAGATTTTGTGATAGAGATTTCCTCTCCTTCCTTTTGCCTGGCTTAGGCAATCACCCCAAGCCTTTAGCAGCAGACTGCTTCCTTGCTTCTGGGGAATGCTGTCTCTGCCTAGTACAGTCTCATCACCTGTGCCAAACAAGTCTTTCCTTCCTGATCCACTTCCTATTCAGTCCAGTTCTCACCATGTCTGGAACTTTTATTACTCATTCTGGCTTTTCACAGGCTTCATGCTCTGTATATTTAATTCCAGGCTAACACTTTAGGGGTACTTTGCTCTTCCTAGCTCCCACTCTATCCTTGTTCTTTGATTGAGTAGATGTAGGATCTCATTAACTTTATCATTAGCCTTTGCTGCTTGATAATTTCTGTCTGATGTGCTCTGGTAGGAGAGGTGCTGATGGTGTCTTGTGATAGTTCTAATCAGCTTCCTAATCCTGCTTATCTGTGATCCAGGAAACAATTGCTGCTTGTCAGAC